CCCCAAAACCCCAAAACCCCAAAACCCCAACAGTCTAAAGAATTGCAATGAATAGATAGTCATTAAATTTAAGTACTATATATACATTTATTTATATACAATGACAAAATCAAGCAAAAAGAGATCTAAGAGTGCTTCTCACGCTAAAGCTATGCCTCCCTAAACCTTGTCAGAGGAGTAGAAAGCGCAAAGAGCCAAGGACGAGGCTTTAAAGCAGACACTGACCTTCATCCAAGATAGAATTAAGAGAACTCCAGAGTTGTACAAGAAGGAGTTCAACACTCACTTTGAGACATTCAAGAATAGTCTGACTTAGTTCAAGACTAATCCTGGTAAAAGAAGTGAAGAAATCATTAACTACTGCCTCTTTTTCAGTCATGTAAGTTTATTAGTATGAATTAATGTATTTTCATAGATATCAGCTGTTTTTAAAGTTCAGATTGTGGAGTTTTTATCTACGGAGTTGTTGAACATACTGTAGTAATACTATTCAATATTGCATCCTGATAACAGAATGGCAATGGTCACTAGTCTCAAGATTTTAAGAGGAAAGGACGTAGTTTCACCTACTCTGATCTTGCCAGTGTTCTTCAAGCTATTCAAGTGCAAGGATAAGGAATTGAGATCATACTTGAATGCTTAGATTATAAATGACTTGAAACAACTTAATAAGACTCATCGCAACCATGCAGTAAACAGAAAGCTCCAAAACTTTGTGTTCGAGATGCTCTAAGATCCAAATGAGACTGCCACAAAGAGAGCCCTTAGCGTTATGATAGACTTATATAAGAGAAAAATATGGAATGATGATAAAACTGTTAATGTTATTGCTCAGGCTTGCCTTCATGACAATCCTAAAGTAGTTGCCTCCTCAGCTAAATTCTTCCTAGTCTTAGATTATGTGTATGAATCTGAATCAGAAAATGATAGCAGTGGTGAAGACGATAAGAAACTTATCTTAGGTAAATATAAGGGTACCAAGAAAATGACTAAGGGTAGATTGCAAAAAGTAGATAGAGCTATTAAGCAGCATAAAAGAAAGGAAAAGAGAAAGAACAAGACTAAGTCTTTTACTGATTTCCTTCCAATTGATCTTATTAATGATCCTTAATCTTTCGTCGAGAAGCTATTCAATAAACTAAGAAAATCAAATGATAGGTATGAAGTCAAACTCTTACTCATGAGACTCATTTCAAGAATGATAGGAAGACATCAACTAATGCTTATGCCATTCTACCCTCATTTGATAAGATATCTTTAATCGCATGATAAAGAAAAGATTGGAGAGATCTTCGCCATGATTATTGAGTCCTGTCATGAGCTTGTTCCACCTGAAGAGATTAAACCCATTATTGAAAAAATTATTACCAACTATATAACAGAGTACTGTAACAACCAGCACATTACCATTGGTCTAAATGCTATTAGAGAGATTTTAATGAGAATGCCTTTAGCTTTAGATGAATCCTAAATAGAGTATTTAGTTTTGTTCAGAACTTTCAAAAATTCATCTGTTGTTGGAGCAGCTAAGTCCTTGATAAATTACTTTAGAGATGTTTGTCCCAATCTACTGCCAAAGAAATTGAGAGGTAGATTTACTAAGATTGATGATGACAACGCTAAGGAGAACTATATCTATGGAAAGTAAAGAATTAGTTATGGAATTGAGGGTATTGAGTTACTTTAAAAGTCAGAGGGCATAGATGAAAGTATAAATATGGCAGCAACTAGAATTCTTGATGATACAGACTTGAAAAAGCTAAGGATTTTGAAGTTAAGACAAGCAGTCAAAAAGATAGATAGAAAGGGATTCGCCTCTAGTGGAGAAGAAGAAGAGAAGGAATCAGAGAAAGATGAGAGTGAAGAGGACTCAGGAGATGAAGAAGAATTAAGTGAAGGAGAAGAGGGTGAGGAAGAATAAGATGAAGGTGATGAAGATGAGGATCAAGCTAATTTTGAAGAAGGGTCAAGCATTGAATACGATGGTGAGTTTGAAGCTGACGGAGAAGAGGGAGAAGACGAAGAAGAAGAAAGTTAAGAGGAAGAAGAAGTAGTAGAGTCCAGAGGCAGGGTAAAAGAAGCTGACAAGAAAAGATCAAAGAGTGTAGAAGTGAAATCAAAAGCCAAACTAAACATTACCAAAGATACTAAGAAGTCAAACAAGACGAAATTTCAGGATAGCAGCAGTGGCAGCGAAGATGATGAAGAAATGTCAGAAGAAGTAAATCCATATCACGTATCATCCTCAGAACTAGAGTAAACATCTGAAGAGGAGAACGTCCATGGATTCGTGTATGCTCACAATCTCGATACTTACAGGAAGTCTAAAAGAGAAAAGATTGAAATCTAGATGAAGGAAAGAGAAGAGAACAAGGATGAGCACAAGGATAAATTCAAGAAGAAGAAGGACAAAAAGAAGGGTGGTGACACCAACAAGAAGAAGCTCAAGCATAAACCATTTGGCATGGTCAAGCAGAAGAAATTAAAATCTATAAATGATAAACTTGAGAATACTAAGACAAAGCTAAAGAAGTTAAGAGTCTAACTTGGTAAATACAAAAAGAATCAGAAGTCTAAGTTCGAAGCTAAGAAGAAGAGACTAAGGATGAAATGAGATAACACAGGGTTTCTTTGCAATTCCTACTAATTAACTTAATTTATTTATTATTTATTTCGAATCACCAATAATCAATTTCATTAGAGAATTAATAATTTTCACAGATAATAAAACTAATAGCCTTTGGATTTCAATTTAGCTTCAAGATCACTAGGACTAATGGAAAAATCAACACATATCTAATCAAAGCACTAATTTTCTCTTTAAATTAACTAATCAATCTTTGTGAACCCTTACTACTATTACTAAATATAGCTAGCTATGTCCGGAGTCAAAGATCTCTAGACATTATCAAAATTAGTTTGCATCTTAGGATTATAACTATTGTTCTACCTGAATTGCAGTAAATTATTTGCTTAATAAGGATTATTTATTAAGGCGTATTTATGCTTTCTAAAGAGGAGTTTGTTTAGCAAGCCGAATTCTATAAAGAATTTGACATTGTTTTGATTAAGACATTCGTCAGAGTACTTAATCAAGATTTCCTTTATCTTAAGTCCTGAGGTCAGAGCTGAATACAAAGAAACTAGCTTTTACTATGTGATTACAAATGCATGCTTGTTAAATTAGTTTAGTTTATCATTAGATTTATCCTTTCGCTTCATTATTTCCATTGTTTTTCTCATATCGTTCTCAAAACACATGTCAAAGTCAACTTCATTTTCATCTTCTTCTTTAAGTTCAGTTAGTATCATGTTACATTCTAAATCTTACTGAGATCTCTCAGAAACATAAGATACACATGAGCTGTATAATTAGCCATCAAAAGCCAAACTTACAACTTCCTTGTAAGGAGCATAAATGTTTGAGTATTGGAAAATGTCTATTAGAGCTACAATTTCATAAAATATCAGAGTTTGAATACACTATATCACGATTTCCATATCAACTTTGGCATCGGTTGAGATTTATTTAACATGCCTCTTGCCATCAATCAGAGGCCTAATTCTTTGCTAAAGAATATCGCTAGTAAGCTCTACTATTTTATCATAATCCTTCTCTATCTTTAAGCTTTTGAATATAGGAACGTCAAATGATCTCACTATTTGAGGGTCCTCTAATTTAGTTTAGAATTTAAACACCATTGAGTTTTAACAATCAAAGGGAATGCAAAAGCTGAGACGTTCCAAGCTCTCTGGACAAGTCAACTTCTCATAGAGATTCTAAACAAAGCCTTTCAAAAGTGACTTCTTATCCTCAATCCATAAGAACTCTTATTCCACTTCTAGGAGAGTAAGATAAGTTGCCATTTTCCTCAGAATTTACTCAAGAATATTTCGCTTGCTCTAATCTAGGTATTCATCTGGCCTCACAATAATCCCAAAGTTGAATTCATAAGACCTTCTCTCATACTTTTTTTCGTTAAGTATTTCAACAGGGAGACCCATATATAAGGATTAAGGTTCATATCTCAACACTGACAACTTTCCACAAAGCTCTTTATTAGGAATGATATAAAATGAGAGTGTCTTGAATTAAGATTCACTTAAGTAACTAAATACTTTAAAAATATTTTTGATTGGTACCTATTTGGATATTAGTAGAGGAGCACTGGTCCAGTTTTTATATTGAATTCTGAGTAAAATACACTCTTCACTTCCATTTATTTTTTATTTTATAATGTATATTTTTATTTTTTTAGTGGGGTTTTGGGGTTTTGGGG